GGCCCCGTCCACGGCCCAGGTCAGTGGCCGCACGCCGCAGGTTCTCCGCACCTTCCTTTAGCTTCAGCTCCTTGCGGATCTCACGCCGCAGCCGTTCCCGCTCCAACTCCAGCTGCTGCTGCACCCCGGGAGCCGCCAGGTCCGCACCTGCCAGGCCCAAGTGCTCCAGCAGGGACCAGGGCTCACTCTGCGGGGACGACGGACAGTCAGGGCCGAGGCCCAGGAGCAGTCAAGCTGGCCCAGCCTCCACCCTGCACTGGAACCCAGGCCAGGCCTGCTCCTCCCCTCTCATCTCCAAGACGGAGAGGTGAGACAGGCCTTGCTCTGCTCTTTGACTCCCCCAAACTGAGATGTCAAAGGATAAGCTACAGCTAAAAGCAGGGCAGCCCACAGTCCAGCCCCATCTCTCCATCTGTCCCATGGGTAGAGGTTCTGGAGGGCAGACCCCATTTTCCCCTCTGCCCTTCACACCAGGGGCTCTGAGGGACGATTCCTTCTCCCGTCTGCTACCACCCAAACTATCTCAGGTCTCAGGCACAGGCACTATCTTCCCTCTGCTCTACCCCCAGCGTACGAATGGTTTTCTATACTGACAACTGATCCTAGGGCCTTTGCACTGAGCTAATCTCCAGTGTTTTATTTAATTTTATTTATTTATTGAGACAGTCTCACTGTGCAGCCCAGAGTGACCTCAGATTCACAGTGATCCTCCTGCCTCAGCCACTGGAGTGCTGGGATTACAAGTGTGTGCCGCTACACCCAACTCCCAGTCTTTTAAATTTAATTTTATTTTGAGACCGATTCTCACTAAATCACTAAGTTGCCCAGACTGGACTTAAAGTTTCAGTCCTCCTGCCTCAGGCTCCCACAGGCGTGCACCACCACACTCAGCTACTCTTGAGGGAAAGGTCCCTTCTTTTTTTCCCCCTGTACCGGGGATTGAACTCAGGAACTTGCGCTTGCAAGACAGGCACAGCGTCACTGAGCTAAGTCCCAGCCCTAAGGCCCCTTCTTTCTTCCCTCTGCTGTATCCACTCAACTAGAAGGTGCCAAGGACGGGCCCTGTCTTCTCTTTGCCGTATCCCCAAAGTAGGAGGTCCCAAGAACAGGTCCCATATTCCCTCCTACCCTTAAAAAACTCGGGACCCCTAAGTCCCAAGGACTTGGGACCTCCTGTTTCCTTCCTGTTTCTCCAACGTGTGCGCCCCAAAGGGCCCCAAATATTTTTGCTCTCCACCCAGGTAACTCTGATGCTGGCGCCCCATCTCTTCTACTCAGTCCCAAACCCAAAGGTATCTAGGGCAAGGCCTCTTGCCTGTACCTCAGGGGTCCCCTTCTGTCCCTCCCCGTGGGGACCCAGCCCCCACCTCCAGCTCCTGCTCCGAAGGGGGATCAGCCTCTGCCATCCTGGGTCCCCGCTGAGGGCCCCGCCCTCTTCCTGGACCTCAGCCCCGCCAGGGCCTCTGGGCCGCCACTTCCTCTTTCCTGCCAGCTCCCAGCACTCCCCGCGCCTGACGGGCCAGCTCAGGGGCATTAAGGGGACCTCCCCTCCAACACTGGCAAGGTGGATGTCCTTCTCTTTCTGGGGCAGCCCAGGGATGGCCATCATTCCTGTCCCCACGAGGTGACAGGGAGTATAGGCCCCTGATGTGAATGGCAAGCAGGCTCCATGTGGGTACACAGGCTACAGGGAGTGAGTGTGTGTGTCAGTCCTTTGGCACAGCTACCGGTGTATGCATGAACATCAGTGTGTGTGGGAACATGGGCTCACACACAGGCACACTCCTGTGTCTACCTGAATACACGCTCATATGCAAACACTGGCAAGTGCTCCTGCGGGTCACTCCAGAACTTGTACAATGCACACCCACGTGCCCAAGTGGACATGGCCGCTTGCCCTTGCAGGCACACAGCTCACACACATGTGCACGGTTGCCTAGGGCCTTGAAGCACGCCCATGCTCCATAAGCCTCCAGCACTGCTACTACCTGAACACGTCCCACAGCCAGGCCCTCCCCCTGCCCCATCCCCAACTTCCCCTCAAGGTCAGAACAGCCAGTTCTGCAGAGGCCAGGCCCCCTTCCTGCAGGCGGCAGTCTGACTTCCTGCTTCCTCTTGTCCAGACAGCTACGGGTACAACCACAGCCTAAGGGGACCAGCCAGCCCAGTAGCAGCCCCTCAGACAAACACTGCGAGGTGACAGCACTGGGGCAGGGGACAAGCCCAGCCCCCAAACAGCACACAAACCACCTGCCAAACACACACCAGAGCTCAACTCTTAATAGTGTTACAGGGTAGAGCACGGTGAGATGCAGCACTCACTCAGCCTGTGCAAGGCCTGGGTTCCAGCCCAGCACAGCACAGAATGACAATAACGGCAGCTACGGCAAACCTCCCCGAGGTCATATCACATGGGTGCTAGCATCAACCCATTGTCAACATGGAGAGGGAGCAGTGACACAACTTGTCCCAAAGTACCACAGCCTGCAGGACGTGGGGCCAGGATGTAAAACAAGAGCCCTCAAACCAGGCATGGTAGGGCACACCTGTAATCCCAGTGGTGCTACGACAGGAAGCTGCATCACGAGGGTCACAAACTCAAGCCTACCCTGAACAACATGGGGAGACGCTGTCTCAAAATAAAAATTATTCTTAAAAAATAAAAACTATTTTTAAAAGGCTGGGAATGTAGCTCAGTGTGAATTCCCTGGGTTCAATCTCCGGTGCCTCCCCGCCCCCACCATCGCTGAGATTCTCAACGCAGGCTGAGAAGATCCTCACTGCTCCTGTCTGACCTCCGCAGCAGCTGTCCCTGGCGGGGGCCCCAGGGCCATTTCCCCTCAGGGTGCCCAAGAGCCAGCATCTCCTAACTCTACCATCCCCTCACCCTCCTTTCACCGAACATCTGAGCGGCTATTATGCCTCTTCCTACCTTATGTGGGAGGAAACAGGCTCGGAAAGGTGACAGCGGTCCTTCCCTATTGGTAGGGATTTTGTCCCAAGCCCTGAGGGCTGGTGGCCATGTCTGGGAGTTCAGAGGTAGCTTCTGTGACATTGAGCCCAGGGATGGTGTAGGTTCTTCCTACAGGGCAAGGGGTGGCCCTCACCACAGAAATCCAGCCCCAAATGTGGGCCATGTGAAGGCTGCCAAGTGTTGGGCTGGACCTGGGGTCAAACATGGGCTGGGACCACTACAGATATCCCAGCAGCCCTGCCTCCCATCTCAGAGAGTGAAGACTGGCTAGGGTCACACAGCAAGAAAGTGGCATCACTGGAGTTGAAACCCAGGCTCACCTAATCCCACCCTAGCCTATGCAGGCCCCACCTGTCACCTCACTGCCAGCTCCACCCTGTCCCCAACAGGCAGAGCCAGGACACAGCCAGGAGTGAGGCCAGCTCAATAGGGAGGGCCCAGGAGGAGGGATGACCTCCCTCAACCCCAGTTCTGCAGCACAGGAGGCTCAGAATATGGAAATCAGGGAAGGAGGGACGCCGGGCCTCCTGGGTCCTCCTCCCTTGGGTGACTCACTTCTGCCAGGGGAAAAGAGGTCACCTGAGGGCCAGCAGGGCAAACTCAGGAGTCAGGCCTGGCAGAGCCATGGAGAATCCCTGCACCTCCACTTCCCACTATACATGAAGGGGTATCAAACCCAGGGTGCCCATCTCCAGGAAACTCTTTTCCCAGGGTGGCCAGTGACCTAGACTGGCATGTCCTGAGATACCACTGCCTTGGGTGTTTCCGGAGTTGGGACAGGATGTTTGCAGGACACAGAACAGACACATTGGGACAGAGGGACAGGAGCAGCAGGCCCAAGCAACCACAAGGAAAGAATCACCAAGAGGGGGAAAGACTGGCTATCAGATGGGAAGGGGATCAGGCACAGGTCCAGTCTCATTCCAGGGATCACATCCTCCATCGGGGCAGGCGTGTTTCACGCCAAGCGCATGCAGGCACCGGGGGTCCCACACAGCTGTCCCCAGATGTAGCTGGAGGCAGGGACCCCGGCCCATCCCAGCCCCAAGGTCTGACCTTGTGTGATCTGCAACACCAGATACGCCCAGCTCCTCCGCAAGGCTGACAGGCCATCAGAGGGACTGGGGACAGGGACACAGGGAAGACACAGAGGGGATGGGGCAGGTGTGAAAGGAGACGAAAACACAGTTACACAGCAACCATGGGACAATGGACTGGATGGAGAGGCACTGGCTTGGGAGGCACCAGCCCCACACATCTCAGGTTTGGATCAGGAACCAAAAAGGGTGGGAGGGTCCTCTGGTCGGTTCAGCATAGGTGGAGAAAGTGACACCCCCCCAGGTGGCACAGGGTGAGCCACAGGTGGAGGGTGACCCAGGCCGCCATCCTGGTATGCAGGCAGGATTCCAGGGTCAGGAGCATCCTCGCCCTGCTGACAGGGGCAGTCTACACCTGGAAGCAAATGCCACCGGGCAGCCTCTGCAGCTCGAAGGGCAGATTGGGGGGGGGTCCTCGGTTCCGGAGCCTAATGAGGTGACTCGGGCACTTCCGCCAACAGGTGCCTATCTGGGAGGCGTCGGCCCGCGGGCGGGGTGGCAGGTGACGCTCAGGGCACCTGCCCAGGTGAAGCTGGGGCAGGGGAAGGGACGCAAGGGTCCTGGGGAGCACAGCGGCCGCGCCCCCGAGGCTCCCTGTACCCCGACCCTCAGTCTGGGATGCACTGGCCGCGCGGGACCGCCTCTTCTCACCCCCG